AAGCCTTGATTGAAGCAACATCAAGATAAAGACAGTAGGTATGCCTTTAAACTAAGAATTGGTAATATTTCTTATATAATGAGATAGTCAAGAACTGTAGTGGTTAGCCTTCTGTTACTTAACATGTTTCCCAGAATAGGATGGTAAGGAAGTACTCAAGAAAATTCTCCTTAAATGCTTTTGATAATTTTGGTGTTTGCCTTTTAGCTTTACCTAATGCTTACTATTCATTTCTTTCAAGAAGAGGGTAGAATTTGGACACTAGTAATACTTCATAGCCAGAATCTAATACTTCTGCTGTGTTTTCATTATAAGGAAATCTATTCACAGAAAGTGGTACTAATTTTCTATTTATAAAATCATATGCTTTCTTTTCAAGTGAAAATTACATCAATAAGTAAGTCAATTTAAAGGTATTACTATTTTAAAATATGATTAAATGATGTGTATATGGTCAAATCCATTGAGATCTTTCTGTAACATCTGATGTTTAGAAAATTCTCCTTTAGGGCTGGCGGAGTGGCTCAAGCAGTAAGAATGCTTACCTAGCAAGCGTGAGGCCTTGAGTTCAAACCCTAGTGCTGTTAAAAAAAAAATTACACAAGAAAATTCTGCTTTAAAGTCTAGTTACCATATGCATGAATTAAAAGCAGCTCTTTTGTAAATTGTGTTTGTGACTAGAATCTTTTCTTCAGACTTCCCTATTCAGGATAGCAATACAATAAACCATCATTTTCCACCTAGACAAACTGTAGACCAGGGAGGACGGTGACCTGACCAAACTCACAGATAGGAACTTTAGAATCCTAATTTGGAGCATTTCCCTCACATTAAAACAGGAAATGATAAAGCCATTGTTTCTCTAATTGATGTAGTTTAAGCAATCAGAATAAAGGTAATCCCAAAACAACCACATTACTGAAAACAGATCTTGAACTATATCAACTCTAAGTGCAGGATCCAGAGAGGGGAAGCCTGTCTAGTTTTTCAACTGCCCCTTGAAGACTTGCTCCTGTCCATGCCATGGAGGGTGATAAGGATGGAGCTCTCAGAGGAAGCCACCTCTGGGCATATGAAGTAGACTAGGGAGCTACAGTTTTTCCGACTTAAATTTTGTAATGTTATTTGGGGTGTTTATCTTTTTCAACATGGCCATCAACTCTTTTTGAAGTTACAACCAAAATCTCTAGCTTACTCACAGCATTCCTGAACCATTCACTTTCCTAAGTGATACTTCATACACACCTTTAATTCCTACAGACTTCCAACACCTCTTCGCCCCTCAACTCTTCACCAGGGAAGGTGAAGATATTTTAAGAGCACAATCTCACTTTCTCAGTATCAAATTTAGCAAACTAACTTTATTCTCATGCTCTCCAACCTAAGATCAAGTACAGATTTTTGTCTTTAGTTGCTGTTTCATCTCAAGTACCTAAAACAATAGCTTGCAAATAAGTGTGTACTATCTGAATAAGTGAATAGAAACACTGCTCCAACCTTTTACATCAAAGCTTGAGTTGTCTACACAGTAGTCACTACTTCAGTCCCCTTCTGTTCACAACTCTGTCCAAGCAGGCCTTAACCCCCAACACTTGCCAGGGTACTATCACTCGCAGTTTATTAACTCAACAACAATCTAACAGCTAATTCTCAATGCTCATCTTACTCAAACAGCACTTGAGTGAGTCCATGGTTTTCTTCTTTTTGGGTGTACCATGTTTTGGTTTATCTCACTGACAGCTCTCAGACCTTTGTTGATTCCAACCTATTTCCAATATTGAAGGGCCCACAGCCAACTCCTCCCTCAAGATCTACTTGGTTGCCACTCAAAATGGGGATCCCTGAACAGCAGCAGCATCAGGAAAACTTGGAAATACAGAATCTCAGGACCCACAGAATCAGAATATGCATTTGAGGTGACTCATGCCCTCGTTCAGTCACGTAACTTCAAATTCCATTCACAGAATGACTCTCCAAATACTTATCTCCTTTCCTCTCCCCCAACTGACATACACAGGACTCCATGCTAATTCCTCCACAAAGCTAAGAGGCATCTCAAGCCTAAGTACAAAACAGAAATCTCAATTCGTTTCCCTTCAGGCCAAAAAATGTGAGTCACCTTGTCATCACTTTGCTTTCCATTTTCTGGGCCAAGTCCTGTTGGTTGCGCCTCTAAAACACAGACAGAACCTACCATTAGATTCTATTTCCATTGCTAACCACCCTAGTCTAAGCCTTCAGTATTTTTAGTGCCAAGACTTTAAAGTCTTCTAAGTTTCCCCTCCCTACACTGCCCACAATTCTGTACACAGTATCCAGTGATCCTTAAATATAAATCAGACCACAGCTCAAGATCCTTCAATGGCTTGCCAATTTTTCCATCATGATTTCGAAGAACCTACATTTCCTAGCTCCTCCTACAGTATGCTCTAATGCTGTCTATTCCACTCCTTCCACCACCAAAGTGGCCTTTTTACCTGACTGCCTTGCTTCCTTATTTCTGTTCTGAGCTCTGATTAAATACCTTCTTTCATTATCATATTTAATACTCACCCCCTTTCATTTTCCATCTGTTTACTCTACTTTACCTTCATTTGAGCACTTCAACATTTACCTGATATTATGCACATCTGACTCTTCCACTAGAATGTATAATCCACGAACAGGAGCTTTTTCTTCTTTTCATACCACAACTATGTAAAACAGTGCCTGGTACACCTAAGAAGCATTCAGGTAGTGAGTATTCAAGTGCTGGTGGTGAACTTTTGGGGGCAGAGATAACCTCTCATGTATGTATCAGCACTTATATATGCTTCAGCTATACAAATGTTCAGAATTTACCAGCAGTTTGAAAATTTCAAAATGGGGCAGTGGTTCCAAAACTTTTCTATACATTAGAATGGGGATCCTTTAAACATTCTAATGCTTAAGTCACATTCCAAATGGGTTAGATCATAATTGCTGGGTTTGGGGTACAGGTATCTGTTTTTTGAAGCTCCCAAGGTAATTCTAATTTGAAGTAAGCTTGGGAACCACTATGAGTTGGTAACTATGATAAATATAGTCTGTGAGATCTAGAATACTTAAGAAATCCCAATTATAATGTTATACAAATTAAAGACTTCTATTTCCCATGTGGTATAGAAAACAAAAGGGAATTCATAAAAACAGCACTGTTTCAATCATTATGTCTTAAAGAGAGCCTATCTTCCAGGACTTTCCAGGTTTGCTTGCTTGTCAAAGCCTAATCCAAACTTGGGCACATCGATCAGAAGTTGGGTTTTTTTTTTGTTTTTTTAGTTTTTCCTCTCATATGCTAAGACAAACATGTCTGAAAAAGTGATGTATGTCACATCTAAAAGTTTTTGGGGGCGTGGAATTTGTTTATATTGACATTTTTAATGGCGTCAGTTAAATAGCTCCACTCTGGTAATAAGAATTACCAGAATTACTAAAATAAAATGCTATATTCTCAAGAAGGAAAAGGTTTTCTTTATAACCCAACAGTTATAATAAAATATGCTCTTAATCATACAGTCTGTATTTTTTTGGTAAGCAAAATGGCTCTAGTCACCAATTAAAATATCTTTAGGACAGAATGTAATCAAATATTGTACATATACCCAACTCTAAGCTCATCTTTAAACTATCTTTGCACCTCAGAAGGGGTGACAACAATGAACCAAAAACTACCCCGTTATTAAAATTCACTACAGTGCAATACTAAGATTTCAAAAGAAACTTTGAGATTATTTAAGCCAACTCATTTTACAGGTAAATGACTTAACACTCAACAAGGTGAAATGACATGTCTAAAAGTCACACAGGACAGGTAAAAGGGGAAAAAAACTTTTTTTTTTTTTTTCAAACAAGCAGACAGGATTTTTCACATGTTAATCAAAAAGAATCAAGATCATAAGATTAGGAAGAAATAAAGAATTAAAAAGTACGTTATACATGGATTTAAAGGACTAGTCAATCTGCTGCCCCTCCCCAAACCAAAAATTGCTCCAAACATACGGACATATAACCATCAAGATGCTTACCCTTAAAATATTAGAATCTTGGAAATTCAATTTACAAATACGTTATTAATTGCATTGTTATAATGAAATTAGTTCATTAAACATGAAAACATGAAACAGCACCAATACCAAAGTTAAGAAGGTAAATACACTATTATTAAAATAATGTATAATCACTGATTGGGACAGAAATGAACTATAGTCCCTAACAAAACTATTTAAAACAACTGTTTGACATAACGGCAATATTTAAGGTAATATATGCCCTTCTCTCACTTGACAGGCTTGTGGCTAAGCATCCCAGCAGAGGGTCACATGGAAAATATCAAGATGCATTTTTAAATTATTCAACCTTGAACCATGCTATTAAACAATCCAAATTTTGTCAATATAAGCCAATGGGCAACATTTTTGGAATTCTAACTATTCTTACCTGTCCCAATTAAAACAAATACAAAACAACTCCCTTATTAAGCAGTAGATTAAATGTGTCTATTCTGAAGCAGCAAGGCATTTACAAATGGGCTACGGACAGTGTATCAAAATGCTACTAGGGAAAATAACAGCAGCAAATACTCTAATAAGAGCACATTATTCCACTTGGAATCCCAAATTATTATCTCTAGTTCCTTATATTTCTGGAAGGCTAGAGATTAACAAGTGTATATATAAATGGGGTTAGGGGAAAAGAAGCTCTAGTTAGAATAGTGCTCATATTTTAAATCACCCAAGTTAATTTGATGCCTTCAGAGAAATCCAACCATGTCTCAATTTTTTTAAGCACACAAAACTAAAATGCTAGTGAAACTTTTGTATTTACCAAAAAAAAAAAAAAAAAGCACTGGAGTTATAAGTGAAAATGAAATAATATTCACACCACTCTCTCCCTGTTCCCTGCTTCTTTCATCAGGTGATCTGAAGACTACCTGGTTTTAAAATATTTGGTAATTCAGTGCAGAAAATTAAGGTCACAGACAAAGTACAACAACTTTTAATACACCATTAATACTAATGATTAAAAATTATTGCATAGTCTTATGCATTTACCCTAAAACATTTTCTGAAAGTAAACGAATTATATAAAAGACAAATAACTCTTTAAAATGTGGATGGCCTTTACTACCTCGATCTTCTCTCCTTTTTCGTCTTTTCAGTACTTTTGTCCATTGTTTTCTCATTATCTCCCCTGCACTTTGGGCAATACCATTTCCCCTTTGGTTTATAGGTAAGTGAAACACAAGAAAAGTGAAACCATTCAATCGGACACTGTTCATTGTCACAACCTATCATTTCCCCATAAGACACTTGGTTACACAAACAGTATGTAGGTTCATTGGGATCTATTGCAAACTCAACAGGTGAAGCTTCCCTTTCCTGTTTGGCCTTAGATCGTTTCTTTTTCTTGGCTGACTTAGATTTCTTTTCTTTAGGTGGCTGATCATCACAGTCTTCAATCCCATTTGTCATGTGACATAAATCACGGCTTTCACTGTTTCGCTGTCTGCGGGGTCTTCTCGAAGATCTTTCTGGTTGACTAGAATCCATCTTTGCTTTATCAGCAGCTCGTTCATTTTCAGCAGGATCTTGGAAACACTGTGAATGTAACTCCATTTGTCTTGCTCGATTTTCCACCAACTCGAGCATTTGTGTGACTATCTGAATTTTTTCATCTCCCAATTCTTGACTATTGATTAATGCTCTCTGGAGATGCTGCTGTAGGCGTTTTTTCTGGTTTGAATCATCTTCTTTCTTATATTTTTCATAGACATCATCAATTTCCTTTAATGTTTCTAAACAAGGAAAAGAAAAAGGAGAACATTATAGTGTAGTGCATCAGCACATGTAATATTTTTTAAGTTAGAACTCAAAGCATGAAACCACACTCTTCTCTTTCTTTCTCTCTCTACACACACAATAAAAACAATATTCCCAAAACACATTATCCAATATGAAATATACTTAGAAGTAAACTAATGAGAACATAAAACTTGTAATACTATTAATCTATATTAAAAAGGATAAGAGATATGTGGTTAACTAACAATCAAGTATTTCACATAGTCAGGAATGCTGTATGCCACTTTAGAATCTTATTCTTTACTGCCTATACTTCATTTGAACTTTAAAGCAACCCTATACAAAATTTACATGCTGAACTCCAGCCAGAAAACTGGAAGAAGTTCCAGAACTAGTCTACAGATTACTGTTCACCTCTGTTTAGAGGATTTATAGTTCAATCCATGGCTTGCTACATGACTCCAGAGAGACGAAATACCTTCATTTTCCTATCAAACCCTTGGACTATCTTTAGAAAAGGCCATCAGCAACTCCTAGCTTCCCACATCTTAGTTTTAATGGCTATTTTAGCACCACATGAGAAATTCTGAAAATTAAAACTGTTCCCAGAGTAGGTCCATTATTCCTGGTATCACCTGACCAAACCACTACAAAAATTACAGCAGAGTCAGCACTGGATCAGTCTGCCTTTGTAGGTAACTTACCAGTTGATTCTAAGCTTTTTGAAACTGCTTATTTAACTGTATAGAAAGTGAAATAATTTGTTGAACTCAAATAAAAATGGCTGAGTCACTAGAAAGCATGCAAAAATCTGAAAATACGGCCTGATGTTACATGCACACTTGTACTTCCAGGACTTGGGACAACAAGGCAGAGGATCAAGAGTTGAGACCAGCTACCGATGCATAGCTCAAGGCCAGCCTGAGGTACATAGCAAGACCCTGTCTCAAAAAACAAAATATGGAACTGGGGGCATGGCTCAGGTGGTAGCAAGTACAAGGCTCCAAGTTCAAATCCCAGTACCAGAAAAAAATTAATTTGAGGACTGGGAGAGTGGCTGCCTAGTGAGCATGAAGCCCTGAGCTCAAACCCCAATACCGCAAAAAAAAAAAAAAAAACCTGAAAATATTTCAGAAGTTACTAAAAGTTTCCCTAAGACTAGTTTTATTCAAAACTATTTCTTATCCCACAATGCTACTTGAAAGAGTTCTGCCCTACTAGACGTAGAGAAATAAAGATGCCAACTCTCAATTTATCAGACCACATGGCATACTGTTGCTTCATACTCCATTACTATCACTACCTGCCATACCACTGTCTTATATTCCAATATTATGAGCATAAAGAACAGAAATGTTAACTGAGCAAAATATATACATTGGAGCCGTCTGAAAGTAAGGCAATACAAAGCAAATATTCAACACAAACTCATCAATCAGCTCCTCCCTGGACACTGCAGGTACTCATACCTAATGGACAACTGTGACACCACAGTCAAGGTCTTAGACCCGCATATCTTATTTTTGAACAAAGTTCCTATGTTCCTATCTATCCCAGTAGTACATAAAGGGATTTCCTAAGAACCTAATTATCCTACAGCAAAAATAAGGACATTAGATACTTTCCTCTTAACACAAACAAAAAAAAATTTGAGGATTAAAAAAAAGATAAACTTAATTTCAAACACTCTGTATTTAATAACCAGGAGGCAGAGGCTAAATTATGTCATATATCATGTTTGTCACATATCATATTTGTACACTGGTACTGTGAGATAATTATGCAGTAAGAGAAGAAAAGAAATTAACATTTACTCAGCCCTTTTCATGTGGTAAAGATTTTCTCATTTAATCTCCATAGCAAACCTATGAGGAAGCCATCACTTCTACTTTAAAAAAAAAATTTCAAGAGGTAAGAACCTGAGACTTTGAACTCTACTAGATCTGTATGTCTGATATTACAATTTAAGCACTTTTCACAAGATGTTCAAAAGCTGTTTAAATTTTAGTTCAAAGGCTGTTATTTACCTAAGAAATTATGAATGAGACTACTGAAAGAAAAACAAAGGTTTTCTAATAGCCATTCCTCATAATAAACATTTCATGGACTTGTGAAATTGTTTTCTTCTTTTTCTACTTGAATCAGTAATTTCTGAGTGTCTCAAATAGATGGGGGAGAAATGTGACTGCCCATTTAATTTATATCACTAAATACTGCTGTATTTTAGATCCCAGACCAGAAAATACCAAAAATTAGTAAAAAAAAAAAAAAAAAACTGAACCAAGAACATAAAAGTAAAAAGCTAATAAATATAAAACTGTGAAAACTGAGCTTAGCAACTATGTGCATAGAATGAAAACATCAGTTTTAATATTAATCTTGAAATTAACTATTAATTGATGAAATTAATGGTGCTGAGGATTTGCATTTCTTGCTCAATCTTTGTAACATCTACTACATTACTCAAAAGAGCAACTTATGATATTAAGTTATAGATGATCAGATAAAGGCAAACGCATCTTTAGAGAAAAGTGAAAGTGTGGAAGCTTTTTACAAACCTCAGTGTTACCTGAAAAACTACAAATAGCCAATATAATTCTTAAGCATATATGTCTCATTTTTAGGTTACCATTCATATATGTTGTCCATGTCTGTAGAAAATACCAATGGACAAGTCTTATTTTAAAAAGAAAAAAAAAAAAAAAAGCTGGGGGCACAGATGTGGAGGGCTACAGTACCAAGCCAGCCCCAAGCAAATAGTTCCAGAGACTCTATCTTGAAAACACCCATCCCAAAAAACGACTGGCGAAGTGGCTTAAGTGGTAGAACGACTGCCTAGCAAGTGAGAGGTTCTGAGTTCAAACCCCAGTACCACCAAATAAATAAGTGAAACAGGAAGAAAAAGATCACAGTGTGAAGTAGCTAACTTTGGAATAAAATATTCTCCATCTAATTAACTCAGTAAGTTTTAAAACTCTTTTTTTTTAAGACAGGGTCTCGCTATATAGCCTAAACTGGAATTTGGACTATTCCTGTCTTCACTTCCCAAGAGGGGGAAAACATGCGTTAATGGTGTAGACCACTACGCTAGGCCCAAGTAACTTAAACTGTAAATTTTATCTGTACGATGAGTTTTTACTTCATATGTTTTGGACTTGGTGAGGTGATTGGCATATAGTAAGTGTTCTCCCCTATCAATCACAGGGATTCAGAAAACAAATTTATAGGTTAAGAAAGAGATACTTTAATGCTCTAACATGCTACAGGCCATGAAATGTCACACCAGAAGTAGACTCCTTAAGCTACTGGATAGTGACATGTCTACAAAAACAAGAAGTTGTTTTTACGTCTGTATGGCTGTTTCCACATTAGGTTTAAGATCTGCTCCTTCATTCAGGGTCCTAAAGACAAATCGTCTCCCCATTTACACATGTCCCCAGGAGAAGGGTTAATGATAAACGACATTCTCTATAAAAAAGGTTGATCCCTGTCCTAGTTCTTTGCCCACAAAGATGATTTTCACCTTATCACTTAAAACCTGACGAAGGAGAACCTCAGGGTGAAGGGACGCCAGGCGGTTGCCCAGCCAACGAACCCACTTCCTCTTGGGGCCCGGAAGTGACACATGGGCCGGAACCTACGCGGATCCGGGGTCAGCGACTGTCCCATCAACAGTGTCTCCGCCTTGACTCATTGGGTGGGAGAGATTCAAAACATCACAACAAACACGTCCCAGACACTGACTCCGCTGGGCCCAACGAACGCCCCGTACGGCCCGTCTCCCTCCCAGGCCGTCAGCTCGGCCAGCCCGCGCCCCTCCAGCCGCCAGCCATTTTCGAGGCCGGCGGGAGCGCGCGCCGCGCCCCTCCCCTGTCCACGTCACGCCAGAGACCCCGCCCCCGGGGGACGGGGCCCTCCTCGCCACACACACCCCCTGTCCTCCATTCCCCGCAGGGGACCCCTCCCCTTTTAACCATTTGGCCGGAGCTGAGGCCAGGCTGCAGCACCCCGCGGCCGCGAAGTTTCCCCAGGGCGAGAGGGGCACTGAGCGCGCTGGTAGCAGCACCGCGCGGGGACGGACGGACGGACGGACGGAGTGCTCCGAGTCTGCCCTCGCCCCCTCCCCCCGCACGTTCCAATGCATCTGCTCGCAAGAGGCGGGGGCGCCGGGCCCGTACCCCGCTCCCCGCGGCCCCGCCCGGCTGCACACTCCCAGGCAGGGCATGAGGGTGTGCAGCACGGGGCCGGCACGAATGTTGCTTAAAATGGCTGATTCCCCTCCCCGCAGCTGCCAGCAGCCGCAGGGGCTGCAGTGGGGGCTGGTGAGCACCCCCTCCCCGAGACCCCCGGCAAGTCCTCGCTGGCCGCAGCCGGCCTCCCGCTCCTCCACCTCCTCCTCTCCGTCCCGCACTGCTGACCCCCCGTGTGCACGCGGGGAGGGACTGTCACCGCAGGAGACACGGGTAAAGTGGCACTTCCCGGGTGCCCCGAGCCCTACCTTGATATTTGTTGTCCAGCTCTCGCAGCACAGACACGTTCCTCTGCATGTCGTGGGGCAGCGACTCCACGCACTCGAGGTAGTCCTGCACGTAGCAGGTGAGGAGCCGGCTCCGCTCCCCGCTCAGGAGCGCGGCCGACGAGTACAGCTGCTGCTGCTGCTGCCCTAACATCCTGCCGCCGCCGCTGCTCCGCGCCGCCGCCGCCGCCGCCGCCTCCGCATCCAGCGGCCACACATGCACCAGCCACGGCCGCCGCGGCTCTCCGCTCGGCAGCCCGGCGCCGCGGGGACGCGGCCGCCGCTCGGGAGGGCACCGCCGAGTTCCCCGATCTCCACGGCCCCCAACAGAAGCCCTCACTCCCCGCCCCCGCGGGAACAAGCCCAGGGGCGGGGCGAGATCAGGGCTCCCTCCTTTCCCCCCCGCCCTTCCCAGGACCAGAGCAGCGGGGATCCCCCCGGCCGAGCTAATGCCGGTCCCCGGCGTGGACACTTGCCGTCCCCCTCAGAGTCCCCAGATGCTACCAGTGCCGCCTCGTAGCTCGGATCCCCATGACAAGCCCCTCGCTGCGCCCTCTTCACCCAATCACCCTCCGTGCCTGTCGGAGAGTCTCTCACTGGGCTGCCCCCGCCCCTCCGCCTGCGGCCGCGTCTGCGCCTGCGCAGAACTCACTCCTAATAAGGCCGGGGGCCCGCCCCTACCGCCTTAGAGAAGGGTTCGCATTCTCCCGCCTTCCCTCCGCCACCCGGGCGATTGGTCTGTCAACTCTCCGGGGGGGGGGGTAGGAGGGTGCGGAGGGAGACCAAACGGCCGGCTGCGCCCCGCCCCCTCTTAAAGGGGAAGTACGGCTGTGCCCGCCCCTTCACCCAGTGTCTGAATGGGACCTGAGAGGAAAGGTGGTCGCTCTCTCGTTTCGACCCTTTCCACAGGGCGGGGGAACCGTGGACCAGCTCACTGTCCATGCCACTGTTACCGACTTTTCCCCCCATCAGGCGGATGGCCCTTCACGAGCCTTAAAAGGAGCAGCGGGCGGCCACTTTTCGTTACAACCTGGAGGCTTGCGGGAACTACGCGACCCAGCATGCAACGGGCGCGGTTCCCGGCATGCGTGGCGGCGGGTTCCCGCCGAGCCGGGCGCACAGTGCACGGCTGGCGCCGCGTCCCTCCTCCCGCCGCTGCCTTCCGGCTTACCCAGCACTCGGGGTCTGATCCGGGAGGTAGGCGGTGCTTTCTCTCCGGCCCCCTGCGGCTTTTTAAATCTGGTTGTCGGCCGGACTTTTAAATCGAGCCCCGGGGTATTAGCGTGCTTCCGCCGTTTTCCAACACCGGCCGTGGTGGCGCTCTGCGTTTGTCCATCCTTCGCCCTCCCCTCCGCCACCTCAGGAATCAGGGGGAGGGGATGCAAGACTGTCTAAAAGATGGCCTAAAGGGACATTTTTTTCAGGGACCGAAAAGTTAAGGCGTCAGGCGTCAGTGAGGGTTTATTGGCGGAGTAAAGGAACCCCGCGAGATCTGCGTATGTTTTTACTCAGTTTTACCCTAGAACTAACCCTTTAGGGGTGCGGAGGGTAAAACCCTAATCAGCAATCGGGCCCGCCCGCAGCCGAGCGACGGTCGGGTTTTAATCTCGGTGTAGAGTAAATGAAACGCCATGTGGAGGAGCTGCCTTTAATTACGGGTTGACGTTCACTGTGGATAATAATGCGTGTGTTTGAAAGTAATGAAAATAACGGGTGTGAGCAGGGCGAACACGGGGAATTGTCATGCAGTGCCCATGTAAGCAAACCCTATTGTGAGCAGTATCAGAATGAGAACAAAATGCTGGCTTGCGGCGGCGGCGCACCTGTAGCGCGACCTATTGAGAGCACTCGTGAGACAGCTTGCTAGTAGCCAGTAGCCATTGACATGCAAAGACACATCCTGGTCTGGCTCCCGGGGAAAGTTTAAATTTCACACTAAAGTCGCTGCAGGGAATTCGACGTCGTCCCAACAGCAGTGTCGCAAAGGACCGTTGTGTTAATGTCCTGTGACATTTTGAGGTTTTGACCCCTTAAATAGTAAGTCAGTCCGGGCAGCACAGTGTATTATATTTCCAAGAACCGTTTGGGGATATTCTGTTGTCGTTCTTTAAATCTTTCAGATCAAGCAGCCACGTCTCGTCAAAACGTCACTGCTAAAAACTGAATTTTTTTTTTTGTACCCGTTCTCCGTGTCCTCACAAATTTGAGTCAGCCAATCCTTATTGAAGGACAAAAATAATGCAAGATGCCTTGTTACTTATTGATTCAGATAAGATGCCGAGTGCACCAATGGATTTTTTCAGCCGGATAAGCGATCTTCGGGCAGACATGACATGTACATAGAAACGGAGACCAGGCAATCATGCAGACTGCCAAGAACCTAAAGCAAGATGAAAGAAAGGAAGGATGAGTATGGGATAGGAGACCATTTAAGCATTATTTTTCACCACTCATAATTCAAATAATACTATTTCAGCTGGTACTGGTGTAAGCCTAGGGAGCACTCTAAGTTCATAATATGTGTGTATGAATTATTTCAGACTTGATTTTCTTGCTCTATTTAGAAAGGTGAATCTAAGGCTTATTCCTGACAGGCTTTGGAAAGCAGCCTGGGGTGGGGGAGGAACACTAGTCCCTAAACCCAACTCTTGACCCTGGTTATTTATCAATGTCTTTTTCTTCTCAATAGTCACTGACATTTGGGGCCTCTTCAGATTGGGTTTCCTAACTGTCCTAAATGCAAAAATTATAAATCCCCAATTCGCTGCAACAGAGACGTTGATTACATTAATCTTATGAAACAGAAACAAAAAAGCTGGATGCTGGTGGCTCACACCTGCAATCCTCGCCACTCAGGAGGCAGAGATAGGAGGATCCCAGTTCCAAGCCAGCCCGGGCTGGCTCGAAAAACACACCACAAAAAAGTGCTGGTGCAGTGGCTCAAGGTGTAGTCAAACCCCAGTACCACACCCCGCCCCCCAAAAAAAGAAAGAAGAAAATTAAAGATACAGGTACTTGAAGAGGCCCCTGGCAGGAAATGTTTATGCCTCCAAACCTATCCCTTGTGTCTCTCTCATTAATACCGTGTTGGGGGAGAGCAACAACCTGAAACTGGTTAAAAATGAACTAGCAAATAGTTCTCAAAAATTCCTAAGGAAACCTGAAAAATCAATTTCTGCTTGAGTTGCACTGGTGAAATTTGAAATCCTTATCTTCTACTGTTTAATAGTTTTTAACTTTTTGTGATGGAAATTTTCCAATATAAATGTGCCCTTAGACTTTTCAGCAATCTTCAACATTATCAATATATAGCTAATATTATTTAATCTGTAACCCTCCACTCTCCTTTGCCCTTATTGGATTATTAAAATTTTACCTGTAAATGCTTTAAATATAAGCAGATAAGAGATAACAGATTTTCTAGATTTTGTTGTTTGTTTTTGGGTTTTTTTGTTTTGTTGTTTTTTGAGGCAGGGTCTGGCTATATAGCCAGGCAGTACTCAAACTCACTCTGTAGCCCAGGCTACCCTCAAACTCATGATCTCCCTCAGCCTCCTAAGTGCTGGGAGTAAAGATGTGTAACATCACTCCCAGCTAATAAATTTTTAAACATACCTGTAATACCATGATCCTAACCCCATAATTTTCTTATTATCATTTAATATCCAGACTTTTCAAATTTCCCTATTGTCTCATTTAATCTTTATACATTTGGTTTAACAGGATCCAAATAAGTCCCATACACTTCATTTGGTTAGTGAGGACTTTCCTAAACCAGTAAGAACTGTTAATTCCCTATTTGATTCAGTGAAACAGAGCAATGTTTTTCTAAGGAAGGTAGTTTGGATGATTGAAAAGCATTTTATAAATATGGAGGAAATTCAAGAAACAAACTAAATGAAATCTTCATGTTAAAAGGTCACCACTACAGAAATTTAATTGTATCTACTGCAAATAAATCCTTAATAATGTAGGAGTTTGTGTCGATTTAGACTAATTTATTCTAGAAGGTGCACTGAAGCATTTTAAATTATCCCGAAAAAGTTCAAAACCTTAAATCATTAGTACAAAAGGCAACTAAAAAAATGACTAATAGTCTACTTCTTCACCGAGCTCAGTTTTAAAGCATTTTAATTACTTTATTATGTTAAGTACAGATAATACCCAGCAGTTAATTAAAAATAGAAATAAAAAGCAGATATATAAAATTCACCACAAACTGAAGATAACTCTTCTCAGTATCTAAGTATACTCCCAAGCTATAATCCATTTTAGCAGTTTTTTTCCTTTAAGGAAACATTGACTCAGACTAAAGGACAAAATTAAGAAAATATCAGATTCTCTAGATGGGATATTAGAAATCTATAAAGTATACACACCATACTTTGTATGGTAGACAGCAGAGATTTAAAATTGGTGAATACAATCCATCCTACTTTGGAATATAGTACCATTTAGCATTTAGGATAACTACTAATAGCAACAGAGTATCCTAAAACATTTTAATGAAGGGACTGTGAATGACTATTGTTGTTGTCAGGATGAAATCTTGTATAATAACTTATTCCCATAACCAAGAAAAATAGAAAACATATTATCCCCTTGGTTATTACACAGAAAAAAATAACACATATGATATACTTTGCATAATGCTGACCAGGAAAACATTTGGTTTCCCTAGATGGTTACCATAGTTACAAGAGCCGTTTATAACTTTGAGAGGGGGAACTAGGTCACAGTATTGAAGGAGTTTGAATTATGCAATTATGTTTCCTAAAAGCAGAGGAAAGGTTTAAAATTTAGGGAAGAGAGATTTATGCTGTACATTCAAAATTGAAATTCTGGCTTAATTTTTGCCTGTGTAATTTCAAAATTTTGTCTAAAATTAAATAACTGTTATAGTTGGTATAAGTTATTCAACCTTGTGATAGCTAGACCCATAAATGTGATTTTTTTTAAAAGATACCAGTGCCTCTTATCCTTGAAGGTACACCTCTATCGTAATGGGATATTGCTTATGTTAAGTGTTTTTGTAGGTAATCAGAAAACCCAACAATTCCCTAGAATCGGTGAGCTCAAAAATGTGTAAACTGTAGCTTTGACCTCCTACCTTCCGTGAAAGCCTGAGATAAAGCGTGGCACAGTGTTTGTGCGATGCTCTAATTCATTGCACTGTGGTTTTCCTACTTATCTCATCAAGTGGAAGTTAGAGTGGAGGAAGGAAATGTTCTGAAAGCCGGGGTAGCATAACCATCACCTTTTCTGAAAGAACCTCCCAAAAGTTGTCTTTATTCAGTGAGCAATGTCT